CCCCAAAACCCCAAAACCCCAAAACCCCAAAACCCCAAAACCCCAGATTGCCAATATTTCTTAATTATTTTGAAGTTTAAGGTTAATTAATATATTTTACCAAATGAAATATGTTACTGATAATGAATGATGACTATTATTTTCTATAATATATAGTCAAATGAAGAAACTTTGATTCTGGAATCTACTACTGTTTTTAGATGAAAGTAATCCTCTACTTTGATTTATTGGACTATGCTACATGCTTCTAATGCTATCCTCGTAGTTCTTGACGGTCATCATGATCCTGCCTCTCTGCTCACGACTCTAGCTTCTACGCATCTAATCCAAAGTGGACTGCTTATCAAATTCAAATCTCTTTTTTATTTCCTTAATTCTATCTCTAATCCTTTCTCTCTCATTAGCTATAGTCTTGAACTCTGTATCTTACTACGAATATCTTTCTTTCTTTTCAGCTCTAATCTATTATTGCTCCTTAATGAATGTCTCAACAATGTCCTCTCTTATATTTTGTATCTCGTTCTTTCGCTTTTGCTGCTCCTACCTCTCCTGATTTATCCTTTTCAACAAATCATTGACCTTGATTTCCTGATCATCTATTTTTCTAATGACGCTCTCTCTTTTCACTTTATAAATATCGTCATTATTCTTCAAGACTATTTCAGCTCTTATTTTACTCTAATTGCTTTTTACTTCTCTTTGCTTTTCTTGAATTTCATCATATTCTTACAGGAGTTTATCAACTTTGACTTCTTTATTATAAATCTGTTCAACTTTATCCACTCTTTTTTGTTATTCAATAATCTCACTTTTGTTTAAGACAGTCTTTATTTTAAGATCTATTTATTTCTATCTTACCACACTCTTTGACCGCTTTTCTTCATGAATATACTTAATTAATGAATCTTTTGATCTATCTCTTTAGAGTAGTTTTTCTTCTTTTTCTCTTAACATTTTTTAATGATCTTCAAAGATTTTTTATTTTCTCTCCTATGTCCTTTAAGACGACTTTAATTGCAATTCTTATCTTTACTTAAGGTATCTCATTTGAGACTCATGCTACTCCCTTTTTGCTTCATCGTCATCAAGATCTAACTGTCTTTTCTTCTCTTAATACTGTTGATTTGTAACCTCTTACTTTTTCTTCATTTCCTCTAATCTCTTAAACTCTTCCTTTCTTAGCTTTTGCTTCAACAGAAATTATTCTTTAATACGATACTCCCTCTATCTGAGGTATTCCTCTTATTACTTATAGTAGTCTATCTCATTTTGCTCAGCTTTTTCCAACTTCTCATTTTCTCTCTCCAAGACACTTCTAAAGTTTTCAGCCTCTTGTTCAATAATTTTTTCTAATCTGTGCTTCTCATGTTCTAGCATTTCGCCTTGAGTTGATAAGCCTTTACTTCTCATAGATGTATTGAACTTGATGCTATTGTTTATAGAAACGGGTGTCTATGGTACATTAACTTTATTCAAGAGCTGTGAGGCCTTTTGTGAATGATAACTTGAAGCATCTGTTGTTTGATCATTTTTACTATTTGTTTGAAATTCCTTGTAGTCCTACCTTCTTTTAGTCTAGCTAGACTCAGCATTTCTTTAATTTATTTGTTATGTTTCAGTTATATATGTCTGAAAATCACTAGATTCGTCTCTTTTCAATGTAACTCTTTTTGGCTTTAGATCATTCTCAATTTGCTCTTTAAGTTGCTTAATTCGCATGTCTACTTCATTATAATTATCAAGAATGTCATATTTTTCATGATATGTTTGCACTTTTTTTGGTGAGTTATTGTTGTCTTGAGTTTTAATTGTTTATTTTTAAATTGTAACTTTTTACTCAACTTTTTAATTATCAAATACAGGTTATTTATTTTGCAATGTTTAGTTGTGTTAGGGGCTTTTTTATGCTTATTACTTTTAAAGCTTTATTTCTTAAATTTTAGCTGGTGGCGGTTGCTCCTTCCTAGTTTCTTTTCTAATTATTTTCTCTTTTTAATTAACTTTCTATTCTTGCTGATGGGATTTTTCTGCTTGTTACTATACCTATTATTGTTTTTTAATTTAAGGTGACTCGTTTTATTCTTAAATGGTAATTGGCTATTCATGTATCTCTTCCTTTTTTTCATTCTTAAGTTTTCTTTTTTCAATCATAACTTTGGCTAGAAGGCGTCTTCACTCCTACTCATAATGTTTCCATTGTTAAATAATAACGTTTTCATCAAATCGAGAAGCAGCTCCATATTGCTTATGAATCTGCTCAACAGTTTTATAAACTAGATCTTCAATGTCTCTGCCTAAAATTTCGACAGCTTTTATTGTGGTTGGAGAGCTCAAGAATTTTCTCTCATCCTAATGATTCACTTCTTCCCCTTATTCCTTCAATGGAGAATGAGGTTTCTTCACAATTTATGGTTGTTTTTATATGTTATCAGATAATTTCTTCTCTTCAAATTTCCTTTGAACCTCCTCCTTTATATCCTTCTTATACGATGCAAGCAAGTTCATTTATAAATAATTTTGAGATTATTTTATTAATGTTAAATATGTTATATATTTTCTTAGTAATTTCGTCAATTTTTTTCTTATTTTCCCCTCACGGGGTTTTGGGGTTTTGGGGTTTTGGGGTTTTGGGG